CAGCCGTACCTCCAGACCCTGCCAGGTACCCAGGCGGGGGCTGCACGGGGTTTTGGGGGTGTTTCTTCTGAGCATTTCCCAGCCGTGAGGCTTTACCTTACACCCACTCCCCGCCCGGTTCCTTGTATTTCTGGGAGCTGGGGAACACTCTGCCAGCAGCGACTTGTCACCGTGCGCCCTGTCCGGCCACAGCCTCCAACGAGCCATGCCCCAGCGCTGGTGGGAGCACAGGCTGCCTCGGCCAGGGGACCCGGACCATTCCTCGGGTGCAGGAGGCAGTCTGCATGGCTGAGAAGCAGAGTCCGGAGGGAAATGGGATTTTTGCTTCCAAACAGAAGCAAGCACACGTGAAGCCGGTGCTGAGCTGTTGCACCGGGAAGCCCGGGCATGGCCCTGCCTGGATGGCAGCGGAGGCAACCTGCTGCCGGCTTTCCCGTGCCACCTCCCTCTCGCTCATCTGTCTGTCCCGTGTTTTACAGTCACAGCCAGGATAGATGCCATGGCTGGCATCAATTACTCCTTGGTGGCACCCCCAACCGCTACCGCCCGGTCCCTGGACGTGGACCTGAAGGTGAGAGGCTGCCCTGGGAAAGCATGAGCTGGCTGATGCCATCGCCGTGGGCGGGTGGGGAACCGGGTTTAGGTACCTCCTCCAAATGCTGCTCCCCAGCTCAGGTCAGGGGGTGAATCCCACCACCCTCTGCTCTCCTGCTTCACCTCTCTCCCTCCTCCCAGGGTGAATTCTTCTCCTTGGCCCACCGCTCCGCCGTCCCCTTCCCTCCGCCGGCACTGGCCCTCCCTCCGGATCACGACCGCATGGTTTACTTTGGGGCCTCCAGCTACTTCTTCAACACAGCCAGCTTTGCCTACCACGCAGCCGGGGCGCTGGTCTTCGAAATCACGGACTCGATGGTGAGCAGCGCGGGTGGGATGGGGGCTGTCCCTGCGCCTCCGGGCAGCAGGTTTGGCTTGCAGAGGAGCTCCGGCAGCAGCTTGTGGTCTCAGAGGGCTCCCTGGCTTCCCCAGCGAGCTGCCCAGGGGCTGGGGCTGCGGGATGGGGCTGGAGCCGTCCCGCGTGGCAGGGGCCGGAGGGCTGATCTTCCCATGCGCTTGGCTGCACCGTGTCGCTCCAGTGTGACTGTTGTCCCCCCGCAGATCCCAAAGGATGTTGAATTCCACTTGAAAACCTCCACCTTCTCAGCCTTTGTTCCCCAGGTGAGTGGTCCAGCCCTGCTTCCCTGGAGCTCCTGCCACGCACAGCCCGGTTTGCTGCGTGCAAGGTGGCCGCCCCCAGGAGCGGGGGTCTGTGCCGCTGTCCCGACCCTCTCCCTGCTCCCTGCAGCTGGAGATGATGTACCCAGACATGCTGATGAAGCTCAGGCTGTCCACCCCCTCCGCCCCATTCCTGAACATCGGACCAGAGGGGCTCTCGCTCAGGCCTGTCGTGGATATCCAGGCTTACGCCATCCTTCCCAACTCCAGCCTGGCTCCTCTCTTCCTCCTCAGCCTGGTGAGCTCAGGCACAGCCTGCGGTCGTGACTGTGGTCCTGGCTGGGCAGCTCCTGGTGTGGCCGCAGCTCTGGCTGACGCCATGCGGTCGGTGATCTCTCCCCTGCATCTCAGCGGGGCAAAGATGGGAGTGTGAGCTGTGCACCGTCCTCCTGCTGCCGAGCTCCTGCCAGGAGAGGAGCCAGATGCCGTCCGAAAGCAGCCCGGTCCTGGTGTCCCCAGCAGAAAAATCCCCGAGCTGACAAATGCCGGGTTTAATGCTGGGTGCAACCGTGCCCCTGGGTGGGCAGCAGTCCCACTGCATTCCAGCTGGTCGGAGCTGTTCCCCTGGGTGCCTGGTTTGGGGTGAGGCGGGATGAGCACTGCCAGAGCTCTGCACTCTCTCCCCAGACAGGCAACGTGTCTGCTGTCGTCGATGTGAAATCCAGCCACATAGTTGGAAGCCTGAAGGTGGGCAGGTATGGAGAGGAAGCAGTGCTGGGGGGTGCCGGGGGGGCACTTCTGGGCCCCTGGGGACAGAGGTGAGGTGGGGAGGTCCTGGGGATGGGGACCCGGTGCGGAGGGGACGAGCTGGGACTGGAGGGAGTGGGAACTGCACAGCCGTCACCAGGCAGCACGGAGCTGGGAACTGCTCGCCCCATGGGGACAGCCTTCACAGCGCTGCTTTGCCTCTCCGCAGGATGAAGCTCTCGCTGAAGCACTCAGATGTTGGCACTTTCCAGGTATGCTGTCCCTGCCCGTGACCAGGGTCCCCAGCATGGAGGCGAGAGCCTGCCGAGGGCCAAGGAGAGGGCTCATTCCCCCTTGCCCCCCCAACGCGGGACCTGGGGCTGCTCCCAGGACCCCACACTGACCCCATGGACGCCCCCTGCCTCAGCCTGCGAGACGGGGAGCGGACGCAGGGCCAGATGCCATTGCCTCTCCCTCCTGTGCTTCCGACCTCGCCAGCATGGCCAGACAAAGCCGCTAGTCCCTGGCGAAGCGTGTGCCCACCTCATCACCTCCTTTTTCTTCTCCTAACGATCCCCCCAGTGCCTGGTCACCCGCTCTCCCACAGGCTAAAGCTCTTTTCCTTCCCCCCTCTCTCCGCTCCCCAGGTGCGAACACTGCAGTCCATAATGAACATATATGCTTCCAGTATCCTGCTCCCACGTCTTAACGGTGAGAACCTGCTGGGGAGAATGGGGGTGCTGGGGTAGGCGCTGACCAGGTCGCTCCATCTGAGCAGGCGCCACTCGATAATTAAATCCCTGTTGCCAAGCCTGGTCGGTGGAAAAAGCCTGCAGCGAGCGCAGCAGACGGCGGTAGAAGCGCCCGGCAGAGGCAGGCTGCGGGCAGCGGCGTGCGGGGGCCTCTCGGTGCTGTGACATGCATCCAGCAGTGAACACAATGGAAAAAATGAGCACGCCGCGCATCCTAATGCTTTCCAGACCCTCTCCCCCGCTTGCTGCTTCTCACGGCTCCCCAGCACAGGGGGCCAGAGCGGGGCTGTGGCACGGCACAACGTGCAGCCCCCAGCCCTTCTCTGCAGCTTGGGAGGAATTTCCTCCACCTACCCT